TCTGAGGGGGAGTGGAAACAAGTTTATTCTTCTACAAAAATTAATTTATTCACTTTTCTTTAAAATACCGATTTTCACTATATAAACGCTTAACAAATTTTTATAGGTAAACTAGAACCCACTCAAGAAGACTTAAAAGAAAATGGGTGAGTCTAGAGACATCCTTTATATATAAATAAAATAGTTCCTGAATCTATCTTAATTAGGAGGACAGAGGTATACTGTTGTAGAAACTGTCTTTCCCTCAATCAAGCTCAACGTTATAACTTATATTATATTCAAACGTTAGGTGATAATCAATTATGTCATCATATGTCATAGTTTGTATAAATTTTAAATAAAGATTTTCAATAAAAACTAAAATATTATAGTGAATCAACAATAATAGTATTATTAGCAATACGTAACTGAACGAAGTACAACAATATATTATTTTTTTACTATACATAAAACACAGTGCCCTCTATTGGATTTATTTTTTTACCATAATTATTACGTTTTTTACTTTCTTCCTCGCTTAAACAATTTTATCGAGTATGAATCACAGACAAATCTTTGGCGTGAACCGTAGTAGACGTAATGGTCTATTAAATACAAATGTCTACATCATCGTGAATACTCTTTAATCGTAGGTATGGATAATGTAAAGATAAATGTCAAGAAAAAAAAACACGGTTTGAAATGTATAATATTTATAAAGACGCATTGATGCGTGTAAATCAAAACGGTTATCTAACAAATATTTCTAAATAAACAGAGCGAACTTCTGCCTTCTGGCAGTTTTTCCCCCGAGTAATACTAATATCCAAGAAGAAAACGTAAAATTCCAAATCATTAGGTAATAAACGTTCAGCAGCGGCGCGATTTCGACGAAAATGCTACACAGTACACATAGGTTCTAAAGCGCTGTATGTTTTCAGTAACCGCGTAATCGTTATAAAGTCGACAGTACGAAACGTGACCGCAGTAGTTCCACGGAATAGATAAAATTTAATCTTTTCCATCGAAAACGACAGTGACCACGGCTTACCGCGGTTGACAATCGCCCAGCGCCCAGCGTAAGCCGTTCGGTGCGCGACCCTCTCAAAGACGACGACGACACCGCCGCCGCCGCCGCCGTCGCTGCTGACGACGAACAGCAGTCGATGGCCGATTATTCGATCCGTAGACGAGACAAAGTTAATACTCGCCGCCGCCACCAGTCGCTGCGTCGTACATTCGTACCGTCCCGTTACTCGCGATTCGTCGCGTTTATCAATCAATACTTGCGAGTCCCGCGACTCCCGACTTCCGAATTCTGGACGTATTACGTATTTACGCAGTACGTAAACACCAGACGGCAGGCGTTGCTCATTGGCCATTGCTCGTTCCACATTTCCCGCGGCGCGAACGGTGCCGAGTTAACGTCGTCCCACGGTCAGTCTGCGGCCATCGCGTGTGTATTTGATTCTTTTCTCGTCGTCAAACGTTAAACATTAATAAATGTTATTGTCGCCGTCCGCTTGTTGGAAGATTTCATAAGATTACCATACGCGTCTGCACTATTACTATAGTGCTAATACTACGACTACTACTATTACTACTGCTACGACACGGTGAGTTTACACAATGTTTATTGTTTATCTTTCTAGTCGTGAGCTTGGACAATACCACCGAATAATAACAATGTTAATGCCTAGGCCCCAGAACTCCCAGCGAAAAATGTAGACTTTTAATTATAGGGCTCGCCAATCCGATTTCCTCGAGACTATTTGCTACTTCACCAGTGTCCATTATCATTTCTCGTTCATTATCTCACTTTCTCTTCGCATCTCTTTTGTCTAGGCTAAGGTTTACGACAATACGACGGCGCTGTCAACTGTTGTTTTCCAAAGTTCACTTTTCCGATTGAATTTTTGGTATTAGGCATTGTTTAATATTATTTTTTACATCTAGGATGTGCTATGCAAATTTGCTCGTGCGTCATAGTTTTTACTAGTACCTGTGTAAAACCTGTTGAGTATAATTATATATTGTGTTTCAACGTTTCGTACCAATTGTCGATTGCTGATTAGTTATTATTAACAATATGGTGAATATATTACAATAGTGCCTGTGTTGTATTGCTGTGCTTACTGATAGAATGCTCAACAATTTTATAATGATTGTTCTGGTTTACCCGAGTAGGCAGTTTAAACTTTTTATTTTTACATTTTTTTATCTAACTTTTACTACAGTTTCACATTATTTTGAACATTGAGATAATTTATTTAGACATTAGGAATTTTCCATTGAATTCCTTTGTGCTTTATCCGTGTTTCTCAGTAATAGTATAGATAAAAAAAAATTGCCAACAATTTTTTTTTTTTTTTTTTGGTAATAAAATCCCATTTTTTACCAAATAGCAATTTGATGTTAGATGTTTTATATTTATTTATAAAACTTGAGAAATTAATGTTATTAAACTCAAAATATTTATTAAGTATGATTTAAAAATTAATTAATATACCTACCTAAGATTTGTTTTCTTATTATCATATTCTAAAATTACTGTTGTTATGATCACTGTTGGACTTAGAATTAATAAGTTATGATTTTTTTCTATTAATTTTGACTGCAAACAATTTAAATGTTGTTTTAGTACTAAATTAAATTACCTGCCAACTAAATATACAAGTCAGAAGTCTAAAATCATAGTTTTTATTTATCATTTTACATTATATAATGTTGATATAATGTGTTTGAAATTTGTTAATTACCTAGTGAAATAGATATTGTATAAATTATTGTTATAGTTTAATTTGTGTTATCGTAGTTAAAATGTATAATTAGCCATTTAAGTGACCATTATTTGTGGATAGGTTAAAGTGATTATATAGTTCAAGAATGATAATATTATATATTTTATTTTATTATGCTTTGTGCAAATGTCTCATAGCAAAATAATCTTTCCTCATCTTAGTTTTAGTAGGAGTAAGCCCCGAAGTAAGCAAAATTAAAGTAATCTTTTACTTTAGATTATTTTTTTAATATTATTGTCCCTTATTATGACAACTTTAAATGTCTAGTATAATTATTAAATGTTTTCCTTTTAGTCTTTTTTCTGTTTTGTAGAAAATGTAAAAGCTACTTATTGCCTAGTAAAATTTTCTACTGAGTCATATATTTTTAAGTATCTATTTTATTATATTAAAAAAAATTGAATAATTCAAAAAAGCACTAAAAATTGCAAAGTATGCAAAATTAAATTTTTAATTTTAGGTTCTCTGTGTCATGAAAAACATTTTTAGCTTACTCTGCTATTTTTAAGCATCTCATAAGAAAAATTCAAATGCTATAAAATCTCAACCCTGCTAATAACTCAATGATTAGAATTAAAATGTTGTTAAAATAAAGTATTAGGTACTTATAATAGTTAATTGTATTTAGCAACAATAGATGTGAACAAACAATTGTAATTTATAAAAAATTGAAATAAACAAATAAAAACATTAATAAATAAAGTAAAATAGAATAATAATATTAAGTATTAGTAATTATTGGTAATTGATGATATTATTTTTTTTTCACATATTTTGAAATTAACTACAAATTTATTTTTGAAAATACATTTTGTTTTATTGATTTGATTTTATATACCTAGTTAAGTATAGTTAAAACTAATTGCTTACCTATTTATTATCTAATTCATTTTATTTTATTTTAAATAATTGAACTCTTTATGAAATTATGTCATGGCTCGCTACTAGCCTTAAAGAATACATCTTCCAAAATGTTTCTACCAAAGTTTCTGGTTACAAATGAATTGGCAGAAACCTCAACAAATGTCCCGTTTTTTATCTCTAGATAATATTTAACTCCCTATTATTCTCACATTTACCTTATTTTTCAAGTGTCTATAAACACTCAAATATAATCTTAGTATAAATCATGGTTTAAAGATAAAGAAAAAATAATGGAAGATATAATACTCCTTTTAAATGTTCTAAAATAAACATAGAATACAGTATCATTATAATAATATATATGTTAATAATGATATAATTTATAAAATTAAAATATTTTTTTTATTAAATTATTGCATACAAGAACATTTATTTCACATTTCTCCTATTCTATAATATGTTGACACATTGTTAATGTTATTAGATTATCTAAATTACAAAAAGAATCCAATAATATTATTTCATTAATTATCATCTCATTATTTTTTTTCAAATAATTTAAAGCATATTTTTATGAACTCATGCATATATATATATGTATGTGTGTGTGTGTGTAATTATTTAACGATGTGCATTCTTATAGATTACGTGTTTTATTTATGAATATCTTGCTTGAATTTAAGATAATATTTAAATTAAATTAAATTTTTATTTTGGGCATCTTTTATTGTCACCTTACACTAATCATCTTAAAGAATAAGTTCATTAAAAATGTATATTATTATTGTCTAATATTTATTGTAAATAAACATTTACAAGTACATTTTAATACTAGGTGGAGGTTGATATTTTTTTATAACTGTGTCATTCTAATAACTATAAAATTTAATTTAATACTTTCAATAACATTATGCATTTTTGTTAGGTGATCCTGTTTTACATAATAATATTAGATATCATATAAATTTGAATTATATTATAGTTCTATATTAATTATGTTTGTAAATTATTCAATTGTTCAAATGTTTTCAGATGCAAACTCAACAACCTCCTATTAACTCAACATTTAAACTAATTGAGCGTCGTAAGAATGAGTGGCGTTGCCTACTCTGTTGTCATGTCAGAACAGGAACCATTTTTCTTGGATTATGGCATTTGGTAATAAAAAAAAAAATGAAATTATTATAATAATCTTATTATAAAAATCAATATTTATTTATTTGTTTTATAGATGTTACAATTACTGGCGATAAGTACACTCGGAGTGTTTTTGCGACACCCAGAATTATTAAAACCTGTTCAGATAACAAGAACTTCAATAGAACATAATGAATTACCTACTGCTTTAGCTGAACGTAATATTCCAACTTTAAATAATTATGCTTCTACTGATAGCTCTTCTGCATTATCAAACTATGATCAAGATGATATGGTTGAACCTACAATTGGAAGTTCAGGAAATCAACAATATTCATTTGGAATGTTCATGGGTCGTCCATTCAAATTGGGTAAGCTAAAATTGAATTAATTTTTTGTTACAACTTAGGAATCTTATTTGTGATTTGTCTCAATTTTGAATGTAGTGTTTTAGTATACTGATAAAAGGTCAAAAATAATACTTTAATCTATTTTAGATTATCTGTTTTGTATGTATCTTAACTTCATTTTTTTCTTAATTATTTATATAATTTAATTTATTTAAAATTTAAATGATGATTCTAAATCAAATGATAATTATTTGATTATAATAACAATTATTAATTACCAAAACAAATATTACTAATACTAAATTTTCTTACATTGTTTGAATTTTTGTTTATATTTTCACTTAATTTTTTTTTTGTTACAATTTTATCTTAGGAAAGTTACCTTTATTATTTGTTTCAATTAAACTTGTTTTAAGTATCGAATATTGTGTTCATATCAAAGTATATTTATTACATTTATAATATTTTATAGTATTTTGTACAGCTCTACTGAATAATATTTTGATATTTCTTATTCTGCTTATGGTATTCAATATTGATACAATTGTACTTGAAAGACAATTTTTTTATGATTTTGAGTAAAACTTAACTATAAATAAATAATTTAAATTTATGATACTTGTTATCTGTTGGAAACATTTATTTCTACTGTAGTAAGATTTTGTATAAATTATTTACTGAGAATTTACAGTGATTGATAAATTTTAAAAAAGACAAAGAAATATAGATTAAAACTAGTAATATTTTATTTTTATTTTTTTTAGATGATTTAAATTATGGAGCGTTTGTAATACTTTTCACATTAATTATTACTATTTTCATGATTTATGGTGCCATAAAAGGAAAACCTAAGATGTTAATTCCATTCTTTTGTATGCAATTGTTTGATTTATTTGTGACTATGTAAGTGAAACATTGCCTTTATAAATTAATATTATTTTTATAAATATATAATATATTATTAAATTTTAACATCTTATTAAAGTACATATTGTATAATATATTATATATTTGTATTTTATTTGCATAAAATAAGCCAACTTTTTAACATATGTTTTATTAGTTTGTCAGCTTTTGGATACTTATGTTATTTGCCAGACTTCCATCGTCTCATGATCCGCACCGATTCTGAATATATGTCTAGTAGTATTGCAACGATAAATCCACGCTTAATATCATTTATAGTCGTTTTTTCTTTGTGTGTTTCAATAATATCTAAGGTTTGTATTTAATATTTCTATATATATATATATATAAGTCAACTTATAAATTGATTTTGTCTCATTTATTAGTTATTACATGTTTAGAAATAATAGTTTTTGTTTTAATCCACAAGTATAATTATTAGTGAATTAAAATTTAAATAATATTAAATATTTAGATTATTATGTATTTGTTAACACATTTGTTGAGACAAAAATTTATGATAACATTGTGCGCATACAATTATTTATAAATTGATAAGATCAAAATAAAATATAAATATTAAACAATGTATGATTTACTAATTTAGTAATGCATCAATTTTTTTTTAAAAACACATCTAACAGTTGGTTGACAGTTTCTACAAATGTATTAACAAATTTTATTATTATATTGTATTTATTCGTGTGTTTTAAAATCAATTTAAAAACTTATTTTTTTTTATTAGTAATTTTAACTTTACAGAAAATAATAAATAATTTATTTTTAAATTTTTACTAGTTTTTTGTTTATTTAAATAATTTTTTTCATTTTAGGGGTACTTTGTTGGTGTAGTTTGGAGTTGTTATAAGTATCTGACTTTAAAAAGAAGTTCAGCTCAACCAACTATTCATTATATAGAATCAAACTTTGTTGTTCAGAATCTTTTACGTCCGGACTATGATTTTAACGTGAAAAAGTTTCCTTCTCCACCACCTTCTTACGCTGTTGCTGTTGGAGAAGATAATGCTACCCATCCAGATGTACCTCCACCATCATACAATACTATTAATTAGAGAATAATTCAGGAAGATGATATTACTTATAGTTTTACAACATGTCTTTAAATTATTTAACATTTGAGTGTAAAAAAATACATTTATAATATATTACTTATCAGCATAAAATTACTATAAACTAGTCCCCTTGGAAAGACTGGAAGTGATTTGTTATGGAAATCAATTGGTAAGAACGCTAAATCAAATGTTAAACTAATCTTATTCATATATAAAAATACAATTTATTGTTACTTTTATTCCTGTTGTATAAATTTATTTAAAATTTTATGTATTTTTTTTTATATTATGGTGCAAGTGTTAGTTAATCTTCTTAAGTGTATTTGTCTTATTATTTTTTAATGATCACAATTTTAATAAAATTAATTAAATTATGTTTCCTATTCATAAGTAGCACAATACAACTGGTATTTGTTAAATTATTGTATTATTAATTGAAATGATTTAATTTAAAGTTCCTTGATACTTGGCTTTATTTAAAAAAACCTCTTATAACTGTTTAGAAAAACTTTATTTTCAAAGAAAGTATACCTAATAAATGTATAATGGTTATGATTTCATAAAATAAAAAACAGCATTTAAATTCAATTTTAATTTAGAGATTTAGAAATAACTATCAAATAATATCCTATGGTAAATATATATTTTGTATAATATTTTTCAAAAACAATTTAGTAATATATGTAATGTTGTATTTAAGAAAAAAAACCATTAAATGTCAACTATTTTTTGGTTTTTATTAGTTACACTTTAGTTAGTATAATAATGTACATTAAATTTCCACTGGATACTAGGTAAATATATTATAATCTTGCATGATTATAAAAATGTCAACTTATTATACTCATAAGTGATTGATTAAATAATTATTATTTAACCAATAGTTATAATTAATTTCATAACATTAATATATTATATTATTTCTAAATCCAACCCAAATATGAACTAGCCACTTGCTATATAATTTTTGACGCTCAACTAAAAGCTATATTACAAATTTTAAAAACAAAAGTAGTTACACAACCATTGATTAAATAATATTAATCGATTAAACAAATAAAAAAATATATAAATATTGCAATTATTAATTTATTTTTCTATTAGTCTTAGGGTACTACGAATGCTAAAGTAATTTTTCCCAAAGTTAAATTACATTTATTATATTGTAATTTTACTAATTGTTATTAGTTTATAAGTCAATACCGTTGTATCGTTGATCAGTTTAACAATGTAAACAGGTTCATGGTATAAAATGTGAGATATTCCTTTAAATAGTTTTTTTTGAACCATGACAAAATAACAATCCTTTTTTTTTGTTAAAATATTCAAAATTTTAATTTGATGTGTGTATTAAAAAAGTTGTGTAAATGTCTGATATTTTAAGGTTGCTATAAGAACAATATTTATGAAGATCCTTGTTTCTAATTGTCGAGTTTATTTTAGAAAAAACATTTTGTCAACTATAAATAAAAATAAAAAATTAAGAAAATCAAAATGTTTTGAAAATTTTCGTTACTAGAAAATTTTTAGACATACATTTCATGAAAAACCATCTACATTTCTATGCTGAATATTGATTTCAGTGCTTTAAATAAATGAAAATGGATGAGAGAAAAAAACAAATCATGTTAAATGATTTACTCAACTCAAAATTTAAGTTTGATACATTTAAATTCAGTAGCTGCCTTAATCACATGTTTTGAAAAAAAAAAAAATGTTAGAAAATTCATCCAGAATAACCCGTTAATATAACATAATATAAATGTACCAAATATTTATATGATATGAAAATGGAAATCTTTGTCATGCATGTTCTCTGAAACTACTCATCAAATTACTTTTATTTTATTTTTCAAATGGAAGAGTATATAATGGAGCATGTTTTTAGTCTATTTCCAATTCTATGAGTAAATGAAAAATTGAGTTATTAATTTTTTAAATAATCGGTAACTATGCATATTAAGTTAGGTATTTAGTTTTTCATTTGTGTTACCAATTATTAGTTATTAATAGAAATTAGTATTTTAGTGATAACTGATAAGTCTAATTGTAAAAATGTTCGTTGTTTTTAGTTCACACTATTGAACATTATGAATTGTTGGTTTTTGGTCTAGAATGAAAGGAAATCAAGTTTATGTTATTCACAAAAAAAGAAAAAAAAGGCTGCTGCTGTTAAATGGTCAAAAAAACATTAAACAACCCTGATCGAGACAGTCGTGTTAAATTGATATGTCGAGAATATATATACACCAAATCAGAAGACAAAAAATATTTACCCACATGCGTTACCCAAAATGTTAGCATTAGGCAACCAAATTTAACACGGATGTATTTTGTACGAACAACCAAGTGTACGGTGATAGCTAGTATATTATATGCCTGAACAATGTTAATTGTGAGTAGTTAAAAATTATTGAACCATCTATTATTTCATATTTATATTTGAATTTATTTTTTAATAATGATTAAATATCTTATAATAGCAGTAATTATATTTTTTTTAAACACGGTTTACCATTTAAAAATGAACAAAATGTTTGATTATTTAAAATATTTTTATGAAATAAAGAACAAATTTTGTAAAGGAATTTAAAACCCAACTAATTGAAAATTTTCAACATTTTTCAAATAATATAAAGTCTAAAAACTTACGGGAATCATTCTTACTTAAACATATTGTCGCGAAGTCCTTAGAATAATGTAAAAAAATATTTTTATTATTTAAATAAATTATTGAAACATAAAAATTAAAAAAAAAGGTTTTAAGCGGTCTGAAGTTTAAGTATATCACTACTCATTAGTCTATCTTTTTTGCGGCGCTCACGAATTATATACCAAGTAAGGTAAGTATAATGTACCTATCTCTTTGAATGCGTTATTACTCGTACTTTCACACCTACAATGAATATTCGTTTTTTAAAAGTGGTTCTTAATTCTTAAATAATAACATTGCCAAATAAATCTATTACACCTAATTTATATTTACAATTTAATAAACAAAAATAATTTTAAAAATTACTCACTCAATTAAATAGGTGATAAATAATAATGCTGTAGGTATTGCTATAATATCATACCAATATAGGTACCATATATATGATTATTAATCAAAAGTAATATCTAACGTCTGTTTTAAACTAGATACCTACTGTCAAACTTTTCGTGATTCAAATTGTTCATGGGTACTTAGGTTTTTGTTATTGTATAAGTACTTACCTATTATAATAACACTCAGTAAGTATTATAAAGATGTAAGTATGTTTATTAAGTTGGAAATCAATTTGAAAAATATAATGTTTGATAATTCGATTTGGGACATAGTGTTCGTATTACCTTTTTTTAAAACCAGTTTAGTGAGTACTGCTTTTATATATTTCAACATCAGTGCTTTAAATTTTGATGGACCGATTTTAAAAAGATTTTTAAAGTAATAAAAAGAAAAAAGAAAAAAGTAATTTTATCCAAAATAAATTAATAATAAATTTCGTTAAATAATGATTGCAAAAATATAATTTTTAGTTATACATAAATAAGTATAGGTATATAACCGGTGGCTGAAAATGTAAGTTTTATTAACACATTTTTTGAACAACTCTTTGCGGTTATTGATTATTTTGATTTATTTTGATTAATGGAAAGAACTGATTCGAAATTGAATTGCGTGACCATAAAACGAACGGACTATGTTTATGTGTCGTTTTATACCTGTTCACTAGTTTGACAGCAATGCCATATTTGATCTACCCACACAAAAGTGACGTCATTATTCTAATACTCGTATACGATAATTTGTAATAATATTAAATATATTTAGTAAGCCAAGTGCTGTGCAAAAAAAAATTATCGAGCTTCATGCCTTTATTATAATCACCAATCAAAACTGCGTTATAATATTCATAGTTACTTTTATGCGTTAAGATATTAGTTACCTACTTTAATGCTTTAACATAGAGACTGCACCGATGATATTGTCTGCGTATTATTATTATTATTGTAATATGTGCTCAACCACATTCGTATAAGGCGCTCTCGTGAAACCTAATCTGAAAATGATTATTAAGTATTAACATAATATTATACGCCAAAAATAATGTACATTCATTGTTGTTTATATTCATTTTATCGCAGACGTACACCATAGAATACATTGAAAGATGCTATCATTATAAATGTATAACTATTATCGTCTTATTCAGCTGAATCGTAATTTCTGTATAGTTAAAGCGGTTAGAGATATTCAACTTCAATCGATCGTCATTTAACACATGTTGCATAGTTCTTTTTCTTTAGAATTGCTTAAATCATTATTATTTTGTTTCAAATATTTTTTCGAAACGTTTGAAACTAGGTATGTGAAATTTATTTACAAAAATACAAGATTATGTCCTATGATAATTATTACTCGTATACAATATACAATGTGTAGAGTATTTATTTTTTTATTTCAAAAGATAATTCTTTAATCTTTTGGGTACCTATGATAAATTACATGGATAAAAACAATACAACATTAAAGTACAATTATTTTATTCTTCTATTTTTATAGTATCACATGTTTTGCATACAATTGCATTACAATGCATTTATATGTAGGTAGATGGGTACGCAATATGCGTACCTACTTATATTTAGTATTTATCTATAAATTTAAAAAGTAAGTAATAAAACATTATTATTGTAGTGCATAGTGCATACTGATTTTACGATAAACCCATCTTTCATTCAAATTAATATTAAAAATGAATTAAAAATAGATATTTTAAGAATAGGTATCACTCTCTGCTATGTATAGATGTGTAGTAACAACATAACGCCATTTACAATTTTGTCATTTTGTGTAATATGTAATATATTTTAATAGGTACGTAAAATAAATTATTGTTTAAAATTTAACCAATAAAAAACAGAAATATGAGAAAAAATTATACTAAATAACTAACCTAGATAAACGAGTAGGCAGTTTAAATATTTTCTACATTTCTATAATATAACAGCAATCTTAAGACCACCAATAACTCAAGAATATTCAAATCTTAATATAATATTATTTTGCTAAAGTTTAAATTTCAAATTTTTATATAAAAAATAATGCTTATGTATTTTAAATATTTTTAAATTGTTGAAAGAACTATACTTAGTATTTTTTGTAATACCTTTGCAAGCTTTTTCACCAAGCTTAAAATGACAATCAACACTTTTTTCAAAAGAGTAAAAATATTTAGAAAAGTATAATATCATGTATCTATATACACAATGGTAATGTAGGTAATATCTAAATATTTGGTGAAAATTTCAAGTTACTACATCAGTCATATTTTTGAAATGCACTAAAAAAA